AGGGACACGATGCATAAAAAGAAGAAAACTCTAATATTAAAATATTTTCGTCAGCCACTCAGATTTGATTTATTGATATTCTGTTGTTTAGGATTGAGAATTCTTGCCTTTTTCGAAATGCCAGGTGAAGACGGAATGATAAGCATGAGGCTTTCTTCATTTTCAATCGTCTGACCAATTCTCTTATCAACAGGATGCATAAGATCCAAAGCGAAAACGCTGATAATAAACAAAAAAATCATTCTAAGAGTGTAAGAAAACGTCAAAGAGCTCTTCCGCGTCGAGAGGGAGAAAAGAGTTCCATATTCAAACCCCATGAAAGTGCAAAAATAGGTTTTAATTCCAGCAATACATTTTTGTAAAAATATTACCATCAATGAATTTTTGAAGGTAAAAATAAAATATTACCAGAAATACATTTTGGGTTAAATATTACCAGTATACATTTTGGGGCAAATTAGTACCAGTAATACATTTTGGGTCAAAATATTACCAGTAATACTTTTGGGTTAAAATATTACCAGTAAAAAATTTTAGGCTATAATATTACCAGTAATACATTTTGGGTCAAAATATTACCAATAATACATTTTGGGTCAAAATATTACCAGTAATACATTTTGGGTTAAAATATTACCAGTAATACATTTTAGGTTATAATATTACCAGTAATACATTTTGGGTCAAAATGTTACCAGTAATACGTTTTGGTTAAAATATTACCAGTAATACATTTTAGGTTATAATATTACCAGTAATACATTTTGGGTCAAAATATTACCAGTAATACATTTTGGGTCAAAATATTACCAGTAATACATTTTTAGAAAAACTTTTACTAGCAATGAAAATCTTATCAGCATTTAATAACCCTTTGAGTTTGATACGCCGTAAAACAAAACAAATCAGAGCAAATTAAAAGAAAAAAAAACTTGTAGTTCCAACGAGTGATTTATTTTTTGGAAATATTTCGACTAGCAGTTGCCAAACTTAGTCATTCCTTATTTTGAGTAAAACAATGCAAAGAAACTAGAAACGCTTAAGAATTCAAATCAAGGGGAAAAAAAAGTGTTGACGACGTTTACAAAATAAGATCGTACACTTTTTAGCGAGGTCAATGCTTTATTCATATCAAAGTTAGGTATGCTTGTCTCTGTTGGTATTTGCATAATTAAAAGAAAAAATTGTAGTTCCAACGAATATTTCGACTAGTTGCTAGTCTTGGTCATTTCTTTAAGCCTAGAACACTAACCATCAATTAAAGTTACTAACCATGGATTTATCATACCCGATTTTGAAAATATCAAGAAAAAAATATTAAATATAAATCTTTATTATAAATTTTTTACATGCAGGTCATTCAAACTTTGTACTTTGAGTTAACATTAATAGGAACTGAAAAATATTATTTAGGTAAGAAAATTAGGTACTGAAAATTGTAATTAAAAATAAGAAAATTTGCGCTGGGTACTATATACCCATGTTTAGTGTTCTAGGGTTAATTTGAGTAAAAAAGTGCAAAGAAACTAGAAACGTCGATGAATTCAAATCAAGAAAAAAAAACGTGTTGATGAGATTTACAAAGTAAGAGCATGTTTAGGCGTAAAAAAAGCCATTCTGTTTTTTCTCTACAAATTGCGAAATATTTCCATAAAATAAATAATTCGTTGGAACTAAAAGTTTTTTTTTTCTTTTCCTTATGCAACTACCAACAGAGACAAGCATTGTAACTTCGAAACCAAAGCAAACCTAATGAACCGCAAAACGAAAATTATCATCGAAATTCTGAAGATTAGAATGAATAGCAGAATTAGACAAGAACTAAGACAATAAAAGGGTAGTTTCTTCAAAGACACCTAGACAAGGAATGCGATATCTATATGATGATATTAAAAAGAACAATACAAATGCACAAGGATCTATATATACGTTTTGTCGAATATTCAAATTTATGCATTTTATTTGATAACGGAGAGGACAAAGGATTGTTTGAACTGCTTTGTAAGCATGATTTATTTGGGAAATATATTAGAATCCTCCAGAACATTTATTGGGATTACATACTGAAGCTATACAGAAAGCATTATTCATTATTACATTATATTGATTCATTATTTGTCGCATAAATTCGTAACAGTAAAAGACATGAAGATAGAGTTATTTTTCAAGATTTTCTTTGAGTTCCATTATTACTGTTATGATTTTAACTAAAATAAGTATATCATCTCCATATCTTAGGTAGATGGAGGGCTTTTTGGTGGTACTAAATATATCATTTTCTAGGTTGGCCATGTAGAAGTTACCGTATGTAAAAAGTCATATATACCTGCTCACGATATGCATATTCTGCCATTGTTAAATTGAACACTTATTTAACTGACTACTACACAAGTTAAACATTGAAGACAATTTTGTCGCAAGTGTACAGGAATAACAACTGTAACAACAGAAGAATGAACAATACAAATGTAGAAGGATATATATATATATATATATATATATATATATATATATATATATATATATGTGTGTGTGTGTGTGTTTTGTCGAATATTCATAAGCATTTGATAGCGTAGAGCACAAATAATTGTTTGAACTGCTTTGTAAGCATGATTTATTTGGGAAATATATTAGAATCCTCCAGAACTTTTATTGGGATTAAATCGGCTGCATACCGAAGCTAAACTGAAAGCATTATTCATTATTTCTTTATATTGATTCATTATTTGACGGATAAATTCGTAACAGTAAAATACATGGACTGCTGAGATCAGACAGAGAAAGGAAACAGCACGATCTCATACAGAAAGTAATAAAAGAAAATGAGAAAAATGTTTTCTAGTATAAAGCAAGCTATATACAGCAGAACTCTCAAAATCCAAATACAGCATAATCTAGAATCCTTCGAATTTGAATTCATGTTCAAATGCAAATTTTTGTATTGGCATAAATATGAAGTCTTTTGTTTCTTGAATCAGAATAGTACCCTCAATACCAAACATCTCGGAGGAGTTGTACTGTATATATATATATATATATATATATATATATATATATATATATATCTCAAATCCACTTGGCAAAAAAGATAATATTTTTTCTTTCAAATATCCACTAAGGATTTAAACAGATAAAGACATATACAATAAAAGTGTACAGTAGATTGAAACATAAGTATGTGTATTTATCAGATATTTGTTTATATATATATATATATATATATATATATATATATGTATGTATGTATGTATGTATGTATGTATATACTGGGTGTTGCAGCAAAATCCGACACTTGACAAAAAGAAAATGAACTAAGCAATAAAGACAAAAGTTGTATATGCACAGACCCGACAGTTTATTTAGCAACAGTTACATACTACATTATTTTTCAATGTAACCGCCACTGGCGGCGACGAAAATCTCAACGGGGGTGCGACCATGGCAGCCTTCAGAGAGTCGACCTGTGTTGTGGTCGTGCTTGTTGGTCTTGGCCTCGATCATGCCACAGAAGAAATAGTCAAGGGGGCTGCAGTCAGATGAGAAGTGCGGCCACAAGTCCGGTGACCAGTGCTGAGGAACATTGTTGAGCAGCCACGCCTGGGTCGTCTTGGCCTTGTGTGCAGGAGCGGAGTCCTGCTAGAAGACGTAGGGGCGTCCGGCGGCGATCTCGTCCATCCAGGGCTTCACCACGCTCCTCAGCACATCCTGGTAGATCTCAGCGAGGACTCTCAGGCCCTTTTGAAAGAAGAACGGAGGCATGACGTCCCCCTGTGTGTGTGTGTGTGCGTGTGTGTCTTTGTGTATTTGAATGTCTGGTGTGTTTGTGTGTGTCTGCGTGTGTGTCTGTTCGTATCTTTCTGTATGTGAATGTCTGGTGTGTGTTTGTGTAGTGTATGTGTGTATGCGAATTTCTGGTGTGTGTGTGTGTGTGTGTGTGCTCGCCTGTGTGTGTACATGTGAATGTCTGGTGTGCGTGTGTGTGCGCATGTCTGTGGGTGTGTGCGTGTAAATGTCTGTGTATATGTGAATGTCTGATGTGTGTGAATGTCTGTTGTGTATGTGTTTAAATGTTTGATGTGTATGAGTGTGAATGCTTAGTGTGTTAGTGCGTGTGTGTGTGAATGTCTGGTGTGTGTGTAAATGTCTTATGGGTCTGTGTGAATGTCTTGTTTTTTGCGTGTGTCAATGTCTTGTGTATGCGTGTGCTTGTGTGTGTGTGCATATCTGGTGTCTGTGTGTGTGTGTGCATATCTGGTGTCTGTGTGTGTGTGTGCATGTTTGTGTGTGTTTGTGCTCATGCCTGTGTGTCTGTGTGTGTGTGTCTGTGTGTTTAGCATTTAATTAAAATGAAAAAAAATCCCAATTCATATAAAGTGCAGCATAAGTATTCTATAACAAATTTTAACCAACATCAAGCGTGGTCATTACGAAGAAGACTGACCGCTTGGGAATACGAGGTGCTGTAAGTTTGGATGTGCGGGTGGTGTAATGGATAAAGACTAGGAATTATAAATCGGAGAACAGAGTTCCAATTCCATTCGAGTTTGTTATATTCACTTCCGAGCAAATAGCCTTGCGAAAGGCATTAATCTATCTCTTCTCCTCCGGCTATGGGTTAATTATTAGGACATGTATCAGTAAATGATTATTATCGCCCCAAAGTTCTTGCAATATAAAAAAATATTTTCTGGCTTTAAAAGGCCTTCAAATGTTTGATAAGCCGTAAAAAAAACAAATTTCTAAAATCTTGCACTTACTACAGCAAAAACTTTCTTAAAAAAATGTGGCAATAGGTAACTCTTCATCCTTGATTTTAAATTTATATTTAGTTAGCGCGTCCATTTCTCCCTGCCGATACATCGTTAGTAATCGATTATTCCGTTTTGATCGGGAGGAAAGACGGGAAAAATTTAAAAACGCTGTTTCTTGTTAGTGAGAAAATAAATAAATTAATAAATAAATGAATAAATAAATAAATAAATAAATAAATAAAGAAGGACGGAAAGAAAGAAAGAAAGAAAGAAAGAAAGAGAGAGAGAGAGAGAGAAAGAAACGGAGACATAAAGGAGGCGATAAAACTATATGTTTAACGTCTGCTTCAGTGAAATGGAAAAAAAAACTTGCCAATTGCAAATCCTTCCTTTTATACTCTCTTATTTGTTTAAATAATTTTAAATAACGCTATTGCAATTCTTCTTCGTCACATCAGTGGAAACTATTTACTGTGGTACTGATTTATTTTCTTGGATGCGTATCGTTTTTTCTTTGTTTTCTTTTGGTTTTTTTTATATATATTTTTTGCATTGAACGTAACTACATCTCCCAGCTCACGCGTGATGTATAGATTGGGAATCATTACTTTAATAGATGATAACTATTCAGATAATTCGCCAGAATGGAGCTTGCATTAGAATAGTTTTCTTTTTTCTATTTTTTTCGTGATCGGTATATATTGATTGAATAAGCGCAGAGTAGAATTCTGCATTGTCGAGTCCGGTTGGAATTCAAGCCGAATATGCTGTGTTTACTTTCACTATTTTTTTTCACGCAGATACCCTTGGGTAGATGTGAATCCATTAGTACTCACTCGCTACCCGACAGCTAAAACTGAAGAAAATAATTAAACTGGATGTTTTTTTTTTTTTTTGAGTCAATCTTACACAATTCCAAGATACTGTCAGTGGTTAAAAATTCAAGTTTGATTTTACGAACACGATTACCAGATAAAGATATTTCTTGAAATGCAGATAATTTTCATGTTTCAATTTTGTTCAGATTTTCACAGTTGTATTTGATGGCCAATACGACTTGTATAATTTGGGAAACACTGCTTTAATATATTCCAGATATTTTCCATCATCAGTATCTACTGATTTAAGTTGTGTAGTGGTTATCGAGACGGGGAAGAGTAATGGCCCGACGAATAAAATGTTCCAGAAAGATATGAATAATTATTTAACCCTAGAACATTAATCATCAGTTAAATTTGCACCGCTACTAATCATGAGTATATCATACCCGATTTTGAATATATCAAAAAAAAAAAAACTAAATATATATGTAACTATAACAACAAAAACATTTCGATTTCATTTTTGCCTTGAAAAAGTCAGAAGACGAAACGCGTCTGCAAAATCTAAGATTTCTTTCCAATTTTCATTTTATACCAATCTGTCTTGTCCACAGAAGTGATTTGGGAATTTAACTATATTGTCGACATAGAGAAAAAATCCCTTACTATAAAGGTAATTTATTTTAACCAGAAAAAAAGGCTTAGACAGAAGCGTCTATCTTTTTAAATTTGGATTTTTTAATGTAATTATAACAACAAAAACATTTCGATTTCATCTTTGCCTTGAAAAAGTCGGAAGACAAAACGCGTCGGCAAAATCAAAGATTTTTTTCCAATTGTCATTTTATACCATATGTATATATATATATATATATATATGTATGTATCAAATCAACTTTCGAAAAAACTTATTTTTTCTCTGAGACATACACTGAAGATTTAATCAAATAAAGACATCTACGATAAAAGCGGACAGTAGATCACATTATATGTATCTCTATTTATGAAATTGTTGTGGAGTTATTTCGCAGTCGAGGCTTGTATTTGTACTAAATCGGTCCTAAAATAGGTTCGACGTACAAAACGTTATGTAACTTGATATCATAGGTATAACGCAGAGTAATCGGGTTGTGCTCGCTGATACTTTCGTATTCGACTAACTATCGTCCGACATCGACTGACCAACCGACTCTACTCCTACTTATCATAGGTGGGAGAGTCTATTAACTAGAGAATAGGTATGTTTCACAATGACAGAAATATTTGTATATATATATATATATATATATATATATATACATTTTCACATTTTAAAAGATATTTCTAGTGGATAGCCATATATGAATAGACGCTCCATTTATTTATCAAAGAGGATATTTATTTATTTTCGTCTACTGGGCTGAATATTTGAGAAATCTTATTAAAGAAAAATATGCTCTCTCCATATATCTATCTATCTATCTATCTATCTATCTATATATATATATATATATATATATATATATATATATATATATATATATGTGTGTGTGTGTGTACAAAACGTTAGGAACATGATATCATAGGTATAACGCAGAGTAATCGGGTTGTGGTCGCTGATACTTTCGTATTCGACTAACTGTCGTCCGACATCGACTGACCGACCGACTCATTACTCTAACTACTCCTACTTATTATAGGTGGGAGTGTCTATTAACTATAGAATAGGTGTGTTTCACCATGACAGAAATATTTGTCTTTATATATATATATATATATATATATATATATATATATATATATATATATATATATATATTTTCACATTTTAAAAGATATTTCTAGTGGATAGCCATATATGAATAGACGCTACATTTATTTATCAAACAGGATATTTATTTATTTTCGTCTACTGGGCTGAATATTCGAGACATCTTATTAAAGAAAAATATGCTCTCTCCATCTATCTATCTATCTATCTATCTATCTATCTATCTATCTCTATCTCTCTCTCTCTCTATATATATATATATATATATGTGTGTGTGTGTGTGTGTGTGTGTGTGTGCTTGCTTGCGTGTTTATTGATTTTTATTGCACGAATGTATAAAATGGCATGGACAGAAATATATATATATAATTTCTCACCCAGATATGAATTGAACTGCAAATCTTGCAATATTTTTATAACTTGCTTCATATATACCGGCAACCAGGCATCGGCACATGAGATTTGATTATAATGGCGAAGGCTTTGTGCAGAACAAACCAAACTTTTTGAAGGGCCGAATACAGAGATCTGGTGTTCTATTTGCGACAAAGTACCAAAACGACGCCCTGCAGGTTTTGATTTCAGAGTTGTCCTTCACCTAGTTTCCATTTAAGGATATAGAACTCAGTCTGTCTGTCTCGCTTTCTTTCTCTCTCTCTCTCTCTCTCTCTCTATATATATATATATATATATATATATATATATATATATATATATAAATGTATATTAAAATGCAACTGACAAAATAGTTACATTCGCGCAAACCGACTGTCGGCCACGGACGTGCATACGGAGATCCAATGTGGAGGAACACGGGATTTGCAAAGAAACTATGGATTGATCTTCGAGACTCTCCAGACATCGTTGTGTACCCTCCGGTGTTAAGTCTTATGAATGTTTATTATAGAAATTACTTTATAGACCAAGCACGCACACCAAAAGCACCACTTCCGCCCAGTCCTGCACACTTGCTCCTCTATGTATATGTATGTGTTCGCACGACACACACACACACACACACACACACACACATATATATATATATATATATATATATATATATATATATATATATATATATATAATTGGGAAAGCGTTCATGTAAGTATGTTTATAAAATAATATCCGATAAATCATTTCGCCTATATGGCTTCATCACATCGGTAACTAAAAGCACGTTGCGTGTGTATGCGTTAGTGTGTAATCAAATCTTATATTATTTTTTCCCAACTTGCCGTTGCTCGAGACTAAAATAGAGAACGAATATAGGTACTCTTAAAAAAAAAGTCCTTTTTCGTTATTCACCCGATGAAGTCCTATAGGCGAAATACATTATCGGATATTATTTTCAAAATATACTTTCATTAACGTTTTTCCAAATGTCAATAACTTATAACTCTTTCGGCATTACATTCCTAAATTTATATATATATATATATATATATATATATATATATATATATATATATATATATATATATATATATACCATTTATTTATATATATATATATATATATATATATATATATATACCATTTACTTTTATATATATATATATACCATTTACTTTTATATATATATATATATAAATATATATATATATATATATATATATACCATTTACTTTTTACATTATATATATATATATATATATATATATATATATATATATATATATATATATATATATATATATTTCTGTAGTTCACTGCTATTATCAAGCATAATTTTTTCTCTTGATGATGACCATGTTGGCCGAAGCTAGTCGTGGAATCTAAATGAAATAATAAAAAAAATCGAAATAATATTAATATACAACCCAGGGTGTCTGTAGTTTTTAATCTTTTAATATTTTTATTGTTCAATATATATATATATATATATATATATATATATATATATATATATATATATATATATTTTGTTTGAAACGTTATTTTTAATCGCTACTTAGATTTGAGAAGATGCTATTGTTTTATTTATTTATTAAACAGTATATTTATTTGTTTACATCTACCAGCGGGAACATTCGATAAATCATTTTACAAAAAAAATTGCGCCCCATCGGTAGTGTATCAATCTTCGTCTCCTAGGGTGAACCGCCATTAGATCTGATGTGCTCTAGACCGGCTCGGCTACAAAGGTCATCCTGGTCAAACACAGACCGAATAGTGCTTTTCAAATCATATCTTCCCGATTCTCAAAATATACATATCTTCTCTGTTTCGTATCCTCACGTAAACAAAGAAACATTTTTAGCAAATGCATTAAATCTAACATTATTTGTTTAAACGGTATTTTCTATGCATACTCATATTTGAATAGATGTTCTAATGGTATTTATTTATTGAATAGTATATTTATTTATTTACATCCTCCGGACTGAGTTCATCGATATTACATACACCAGATTGTTAAATTAGTTTCTTTAATTATATCTTATCAACGATTGTTGGAATATGTGATGGCAAATATGAAAAATCTAAAGACAAACAGAAGTCGGGTTTAGTAAGTTTCAAAAAAAAGTACATACAAGGCCATTTTTTCAGCCACTTAAGGTCCGTTGCTGGAGGTAGGTCCTCCTTACCACGTTGGTCCAATGGGTGTTTTTAAGGGCGGATGTGACACGCTTGGATGATCCTGATTTTTTTTTTTCAATTCATAATCATCTACTCTCTCTCTCTTCAACATAACATTTCTTCAAAGACTGGTGTACTTTTGAGCCAAATACCAGATGATGCAATAATCGCTAGCTTTGTTTAATAGGACTTTTCTTGATATTAAAGGTCGTCGGCCTTTGCCAGACTTTGCCAAGCAGTAGAAATCGACGTTAATCTTTCTCCTAGACTGGTTTCCAACTAAGGCTATACCGAGCGAGACTTCTCTGCGATTTTCCCAGAGCTGAATAGAGAAGAGATGAAGAGGTGTATCCATACATTTTCCAAAGGTATTTATGCGTAAGTTAATATAACAAACCCGACTGGAATTCGAACCCAGCTCTCCGATTTCTCAATCCGAGGCGTCACCCGCACATCGTACATTCAAACGTACAACATCAGGTATTTCCCCAGCGGACACTCATCTAGTCACTGACCAGCCTTGAGTGAATTTTTTAACATGATCACCCTATACAAGACCCAATGGAGTTCTCAAGATAGAGGGTACTGAAGACGGTTGTTCCGATTGTATTAAGAGTAAGGAGCTGTTATCATGTGGATATGTAGGAAAGATAACGGTTAACCGTAAAATTGAAGAGGTTAAGATTGTTTTGGTTGAGAAATCATTCTTCTGGGATTCTATTCTACAAAGCCACTGTTTATAGGAAGAAGCTGTCCGAGTGGAAGTGACTCCTTACAAAAAGAATACAAATGAAAATTGTGTCGTTTATCTCAGTATACGCGGTATGTTAAGTCTAAGCTGTGAGGGTTAAAATTGGGAGAAAATAAGTACGTACCTCGTTTGCACATTTTCCACGGAAATAACGACTGATTAGAGAGGGACTTGCAAATATTCTTCTCTGGGATATACCTTGTAATTTTTGAAAAAATCTAATCACCCACAAGTCCAGGTATACAGTTTCGGACTTTATCGAGACACGAAAAGTAAAGGCTGAAAATCAGCAGTAATAAATATTTCTATTGAATAAAGCCGTTATATATATATATATATATATATATATATATATATATATACTAGCAGTATAACCCATCTTCGACCAGGTGTTTCATTACTGGGAATTTTTGTTGTTCAGTTGAAGCAGTTTAGGTCTAATGTCTGTCCACCCAAAAATCAATATTAGTAACAAAATTTGGGTGCTCTTGAGGCACATCCCCAAATAGGGGGTTAAAAATTTTGAATGAGCAGTGGCCCTAAAAAGAACCGCTTTTTCGTTCTCAATCTTGCAACGAAAGAACCTCTTCCATGGGCCGTCATAATGATAATATACGATAATTTTTATTTCTAATATTTTTTTTAATAATTCTAGTAATCTTTTGCATTAGATTTTGACACTCTTGATTGTACGCAGTTTTTTTTTTTTTTTACAGACATTAAATTTTGCTTTTGATTTTTACGCAAAGTGTAAAAAATCAGTTTTTTTTTCGATTTTTCACCTTCAAGGTTGTAAATTTTTACAGCCAATTTGGAGTCAAAACCGGCACTGAAGAATTATCTATCAAATCATCGAAATCGGATGAAAACTATGGAAATATATAAACAACATCCGATCACACACACACACACATGCATACAGACACGGATTTTGAGAATTATAGATATAGATATGAAGCTATAGTCTAACAAACATGGCCAGAAGATTGCGTTCAAGCATGAAACAGACAGTTGCCACTCAATACTGACCCCAGTGTCTGAACAGTTAGACTACCGGGACACATGATTTGATTACAGTTGTAAAGGCTTAAGTAGAACAAAAAATACTTCTACATGCAGTTAGTGTGCCACAAGTTTCCCCAATGACCGTTTCCAAAACAGCCTCTTTATGAGTTTTGAATTCTCCTTCGTATGACAGCAGATTAAAATTATTGACATTATCAAGTCTTGGTAAGATTTTAGATCAGAAGTAAGTTTACCTTTTTAACTCAATTCACCCCAAGCAGGGCAATAGAGCCACTAAGATACAAGGAGTTAGTGAGTGTGAAAGAATAAGATAAAAAAAAGCTTTATTAATGAGCGGAAACTATAGAAAGAAGAGGAATCAAGAAGACAGTAGATAACGATTGACATTTCATTTTAATTTTTGAAAATCAAAGTTGATTAGAAATCATGAAAGCGGAAGAGTTTTACAGGCGACAAATGAAACTGTTAGCATGAAACATAGAAATTTATCTAGCAAATTAAACTGTAAAACGATGAGATCTTGCCGCCAAGGTCTCATCATTTGTTGTCCTTGTGCACATAATTAGCGCCAAATGAAAATTTAATTCGAGCAACTTGGATTCCACATCGAGGCTCCGATTTGCATTCACTCGTGAAAAACTCTGAATATTGCTGGAATCATCCTGATTTCTCAGTGGTTATCTTATGGTCAGATCTAAGCTTATTTTCAAGGGATTAGCTGACTGGTTCATTGATTCATATATTACAACTTATTAATCCTTTGTGGGTTATTTAAAGTCGAGATATATATTGGATCGTAAGAATATTTCTCTGGCGGAGACTTACCTCGGCAACCCAAAAGGGACAGAATCGCGTGTATGTTTTGCAATAGAGTGAGGAGACGGCGAATTGGCGAGCTTTAGACTAAAGGTGAATCGGGCAGCATTTCATGTAGAGAGATGGGTTAGTGTCGCTTGTAGCCATTTTTAGTGTCTGGTTCTGGTTTCTCATTGGGTGAGAGATGGCTGGGTCAGGTGCATAAAAGCATGGTACTCTCATTCAAAAGGAGTCTTGTGTTCTAGAGAAGGAGATGCGTACTTGAGATTGAGGAATAGAGATAAATGTGGAATCGATTTGCCTATTGAACATTTTGGACATCTACATAGTTTGTTGGGTCAGCTTCTGACAAATTCCCACACAGAATATATATGAACAACTGTCAGTTCATATAACCATATATGAACAACTCACCCTTTATATAACGTGTTGATTAAAAATATAGCGGGTCAAAAATGTAAAATTGCAGCATTTCAACAACTTTTTAAATATATAGTTGAATTTTTATAGCTTCATATTTGAACATAATTTAATATGGAATAATGAAAATCTCATCCATATTCAAGAGTTTAATATTACAGAAATGTTATAGTCTCATGTATTGTCGATAAAAATGGCGCAAAGGGATGATATATTTTTACGAAATTATTTTTCTCGAAAATACGTATCCAGCAATATTTTACATTTTTTTTTATCTATTTTCTGCATTTATTTGCTTGCAACATCGAAGTTATTTCTCGAAATTCATACGTTTCTCAGAGATATTTTGCTCGTAAGGGAATATAACTAACCCAACGTGAACTCGTTTCTCTGATTAACAATTTCGAGCCATCATCTATTACACCACCCGCACATCCAAGCTTACAGCATCGGGTTTTTCTAAACGGTCATCCACCTGGGTAACGATCAGGCTCTATGATGCTTAATTTCGGTGAAAGTTCGGGAACCTTTGTTTTAACGTGATATGGCCGAACGCTTTCCGGGAGGAAACATATATGAACAACTCTCCATTCATCGTTCATACAAATATATATGAATACCTCTCCGTTTATATAACGTGTTAATTGAAAATATGCAAATAGAGATGGCCAAAAATGTAAAAATGCATAAATTTAAGAACTTTTTAGATATGTAGTTTTAATTTTTATCTCTTCATATTTTAACGTAACTTAATACGGAATAATGAAAAGCTTTTCCGTATTCAAGAGGTTAATATTACTGTAATATTATTGTGTCGTGGATTGCCGATAAAAATGGCGCAAAGGGATGGTATATATTTACGGATTTATTTTTCTCGAAAATACTTATCCAAAAAGATATGAATATAAGGAACCCAACGAGAACTCGGTTCTGTAGTTAAAAATTTCGAGCCATTATGTATTACACCACCTGCATATCCACGCTTACAGCATCGGGTTTTCCTAAACGGTCACCCATCTGGGTAATGATCAGGCTCTACGATGCTTAATTTCGGTGATCGTTCGGGAACCGATGATTTAACGTGATATGGCCGTGTGCCGCTTTCCAGGAGAAAACTGTAGCGGGGTGTTACTCCAGCGACCCAAAAGAAACAGTTTCGCGTGTATGTTTTGCAATGGTGAGCTTCAGACTAAGGGGGACTCAGAATTCTTGTGGACGGATGTGGTAGTGTTGTTTGTAGCCATTTTTATTGGATGGTTCTGGGTGATCATTGCTTGAGCGATGGCTGGGACAGGTGCATAAAAGTCCGATACGCTCATTCAAAGGGAATCTTGTTTCTGAGGAGTTGCGTACTTGATACTGAGGAACAGAGATAATTGCGTAATTGATTTGACTGTTGGAACAATTGGAATTGAAGATAGTTTTTTTTTTTTAATAACTCTTAGTTTATATATAAATATATGAACACTTCTTGTTCTCTCTAAACTCTACAATAAATCCCCTGATGCTTCTTGCTTTCCCGCCTGAGTGTATGGCGTATGAAAGTTAACTGATTGACTAAGCGAAATACGAAAATAATAACTGATTGTTTCTTTTATTGCAATGTTTCCCACTTCTCTATGTTTTCTGATATCATCTCTAAAATAAATCCTCACAAATCCTGTCGACTGAATGTTATCCTTGCAACTTACGAAACGCGCCCCTGAATTGGCTCCTGTTCTCTCTAAACTCTACAATAAATGCCCTGTTGGAAAACCTCTTCTGTAGTCCCGGTTTTGAAGAAATCAGAACTGCCTGATCCTTATAACTATCGGCCTAATTAACCTTCTATCTCTTTTTTGACAAAGTACTAGAGTTTCAAATTGTCTCTGAATTGGTTAATCATCTCACCTCGCAGGGTCTTCTTTCAGATAAGCAATATACGTTTCGCTTCTCTAGGTCAACTGCTGGTGTATTGAGGATTATTGTTGAAAGAGTCTATCAAGTTTTAGATAAGAATAGCGAAGCTCGAGCTGTTGCTTTGGAAATGAATGTTATCTTGAATGCCCACTCCTCAAGGTCTTTCTCTATTAATGCGAGACTCCTCGTGCTCTCGATTTGAACTAAAGTTGTTCCTAATTTTCATCAACAATCATCATGATGGCATCAATTCTCAACTCGATTTCCTGCTTAGAAGTGATTCTCTATTGAGTGACATGCATATAACTCCATCCATATTTTCTGGTATCATCTCTAAACTGAATCCTCAAAAATCTGGTGGACTGAATATTATCCTTGCAATTGTCCTTACCAAATGTGCCCCTGAATTGGCTCCTGTTTTCTCTAAACTCTACAATAAAAGCCCTGCTGCTTCTTGATTTCTCGCCTGTTGGAAAACCTTTTCTGTAGATCTGTTTTTAAGAAATCAGCAGAACTTCCTTATCCCTGTAACTATCGGCCTAATTAACCTTCTATCTCTTTTTTGACAAAGTACTAGAGTTTCTAATTATCTCTGAATTAATTAAGCACCTCACCTCGCAGGGTCTTCTCTTACCACTAGATTTGTTCAGCAAATATCTCAGCTTTTAATCTTGCTATTTTTCTTCTAATCTATCATTCATCCCAACCTATGTTGATAAACGTATGTAATGAGGTTCTGCCTTCATATCATGTGAGATAAATTATTTACAACTATAAATGTCAATGTGAAGCTGAATATATAGGAAGAACTAATAAAAATTTGGAGACTGGAATAGATCAACACGCGCCAGCTAAGATCCGTCACTGGAGATGCGATAATCTGTCTAATCTGGTTAATAATTCAGCTTCAGCGAGACTAACGGAAGCTTTATAGAAAATCCAGTGTGTGCTATGTTGTTTGCCCATAATTTCTTTACCACTCTCAGCAGATTAGTCAGATATTTTATTCTATGTGCCGGTCCCCTGCAGGACGTTGGCGATCGTAGCTGTCCATAATTCTCTGTCATTTGTAGCTGTTAGTAACTCTTTTCATTTTGCCATCTCTCCCAAATTTGCTCTGCCACCCATTCGCACAACTTGGTCAGGTAAGTTGTGTGTTAATTCCCTCTGTCTATGGGGACAATTGTCCAGGGGGCAATTCTCCGAGGCCAGTAATCCTGGGGAAGTTCACCTGATACCGAGTGATGGCAGAAAACAGTTCAACAAAATTGTTAATTTCGAAATGTTGAAAGGTAAAAAGATTTTAATGTTTTTGTAATTTTTCTGCTAATTCACGACTAGTATTTTCGTCCTAACCTATGTTGATATATGTACGTAATATGTTGCCTTCAGTCATGTGAGCTTAATTATTTACAACTATAAATGTGAATGTGATGCTGAATATATAGGTGGAACTAATCAAAAGTTGGAAACTGGATAGATCAACACGCGCCAGCTAAGAATCGTCATCGGAGATGCAATAATCTGTCTCATCTGGTTAATAATTCAAGTTCAGCAACTGATGAATGCTTAATAAATATCCAATGTTTGCGATATTATTTACCAAGAATTTCCTTACCATAGTCAGCAGATATTTATTCTATGCGACGTTTCCTTGCAGGACGTTGGCGATCGTAGCTCCCGAGATTCCCTGTCATTTTAGCTCTTAGAAACTCTTGTGTTTTTGCCATCTCTCCCAAATCTAGTCTGATATCCATTCGCACAAGCTTGTAAGGTAAATGGTTTGTTTGTTTCCTCTGCCCTCCTTAGCTTCAATCTGTCCTAGTGAGTATCAAATCTTCGAGGACCTCTTTCCTCATTATATATCTGTTATGGGATCTTACCCATAATAATAAAATTGGACTATTCTATACCTAATAAATACTGCCCCTCAGGAGTAGACAAAGTGCCAGTCGTTCAAGTCTGAACCGACTGTCCGGTTAAACTCTCTTCCTACGGGCGGGAGAAACCCGAAGAAGGCTACGCCGAAGGGCGGAGTCTCCTTCGGGGAGGTAAAACCGGCCCTGAACCCGTTTATACGGGTTCAATGGGCATATTTTTGGCCGAGCCTAATGGCTCGGAATGCCCACGTTAAAAAGGCCTTGTGCCACATGACACCCTCGTGGGTGGGGGGGGTGACTGAATATCGTCAGTAGTTCAAGTCTGAACCGACTGTTCGGTTGTACTCTCTTCCTACGGACGGGAGGAACCCGAAGGAGGCTACGCCGAAGGGCGGAATCTCCTTCGCGGAGGTAAAACCGGCCCTGAACCCGTTTTTACGGGTTCAATGGGCATATTTTTGGCCGAGCCCACGGGCTCGGAATGCCCTCGTTAAAAAGGCCTTGTGCCACATGACACCCTCGTGGTGGTGGTGGGGGAGTGACTGAATATCATCAGTAGTTCAAGTCGAGTCAGTAGTTCAAGTCGAGTCAAGAGTCGAGTCAGAGGCAGTCCGAAACAGAGTCGCGTTCAGACAATTACTGCAAGACATTGGAACAGAGATACTGGTCGAGACTACATTGTTCTCTCTACTAAACCTGATTGTTCCTACTAACACTTCCACTTCTCTGTATATATTCCTGTTTGTAATATATCTGTGTTATCCCATACCTGTGTTCGAGTTCTTCTTTATTGGTTCTACCTTGGACTATCACCGTGGTACAAGGAACCGAACCATAACAATGTCCCAGATATTTCTAGTGTTTAACCCTGATGTTAAATATAAGTTTCTTTTTTGTTGCAATTCGCTCTAGAACCTCGTCGTTACTCACATGATCGGTTCATAATATTCTCACCATCCTTCTGTAGAACCACATTTCTGTAGTTTCAAGTTACTTATCCACCTGGGAAGAGAATGTTTAGCGTTTACCACCACAGATGAGGACAGATACAGCGTAAGAGTTTAGCACTCATTTTTTTTTTGTTTCTAATGATATTTTTGTTTCTTAATACTTTGTTTATATATATTCATCTGACGTTTATGCAAAAGAGTCGTTTTGGAACATAAGAGTCTCCTTTCTTATATGAACACTATGAGCTGAGTTTCAAAATTGACACGTGTAAAAAAAAGGTTCGATAACTCTATAAAATTCAGTGATTAATTTTACGCTGTGTCTATATTATGAATCTCCCCAGCTTCTAAAATTTCTAAAAAAAAATTCGATTTTGATACAAGTGTCGCGACTCAAAAAAAGTCGAAAGTATTCTGATCTAAAATCTGATTCCCAGCAGAATTTCATTACTTAAGTTGTCCTCATTTATCAAAATATATTTATTAATTTAAGTGTGGGCCGATCGGAATATATATCGGTAGGACAGAGGTCACATTGGAATATTGATTGTTAGTATAGAGGTCACATTGGAAAAACTTATTGGTAGGACAGAGGTCGCATTGGTATATTTATTTGTAGTATAGATGTTACAATAGAATATTTATTAATAGGATAGAGGTCATATTACAATATTTATTGGTAGAGTACCGGTAGCATTGGTATATTTATTGGTAGTATAGACGTCATATTGGAATATTTATTCATAGGGTACATGTAACATTGGTATATTTATTAGTAGGACAAATGTCATTTTGGAATATTTATTGTTAGGGTACATCTCGCATTGGTATATTTATTATTAGGACAAAGGTCACATTGGAATATTCATTGGTAGGATAGAAGTCATATTGGAACATTTATTGATAGGTTAGAGGTCATATTGGAATATTTATTATTAGGATAGAGGTCATATTGGAATATTAATTAGTAGGATGCACGTCACATTGTTATATTTTTTGGTAGTATAGAGGTCATATTTGAATATTCATTTATAGGATGGAGGTCATATTGGAATATTTATTGCGATTACAGAAGTCACATTGGAATACTTATTATTAGTACAGAGATCAAATTGGAATATTTATTGATAGGGTAAAGGTTGCATTGGTATATTTATTGGTTGGATATTAAACTTTTGAATAATTATTTGTAGGAATATACTGAAAAGGAATAAGAAATAGTGTGAAAACAATTACACTCAATGAACAAGAATACATTTTATTGCCTTGACAAAGTAAAATCGAAAAATACAAACGATATGAATAATGATCTACTTTTGGATATTTCTTTATCACACGTACATACATGGTAAAATCCTATGACAG